CTGAGTACATAGTCAGCGACTTGAAGGAACGAAGTAGTCAGTCGACGAAGCTCGACTGCGGATGGTGGTATCTGACGGAAAATGGATTTGTGCAAGCTGTAGCCACCGTCGCTTTGGCGTAAGACTTTGACATTCCCTCTTCCAGAAGTGTATTCGTGTCTCTAGATACATACACAGGGCTGGTTAATACAAGCTCACAACAACGGCGAGCCAAAAAGGTGAACGTACGTAGCCAAGTTTAAGACCTGCGCTCGAAGAGTGTACGTGCCCGCGAGTGCAACGGAGACGTCTGGGAATACAAAATACCCGTACGAGCGACCTCCAATTTTGTCCATCACGATTGGGAAGCTGGCCTCCAGAGTACCACATAACGGATACCGGAGTGGGCCCAGTGAGCAATTATGAGCGCTTGCAGAGTCGTGATCAAGTACGTTCTCCACAGGAATGCCGGATTCATCGCATAATGATAGGTTCACAATAGTGAAGGCGCATCTGTCGCTGAACGCATAAGCGCGAGTCAGCGATCACTGAGTATCAATGGCGGGCCGCTCAAGTACTGACTGCAGAGAGGTACCCCTAAGATTCGGTATGAAGAGTTCAAAGATGGGCTTGGGAGAGAGTGGGAGCCTGGACAACGGATTGCTGATATCAAAAGTAGCTCCTGTGACCGGATGTTGCTTGACCGTGAGTATCATGTCTTGTCTGCACATTCAACGTGAGTTCCAGAGCGGAGCACTCCTCCACAAGAATGCCACTCTCCTTCCTCCAATCGCATTCGATGTCTTGACGGGGGGCCGGATGGACTGTCTTTCAAAGCCGTCGGTCGAACGAGATGGATCACGAGGTGGTGTAGAAGATCGAGACGTGGGCTTAAGGCGCGGCGCTATCGGTCTGAGATGACTGTAGGGGTTTCCTTTGCTATGGGATGCGTAATATCGAAAATGTTCAGATGCAGGGCCTTGCGATTCTTTTTCTCGTCTGAGAAATAGAACGGTATTAGCTATAGACGGACCAACGAAGGAGGAAGATACGAAACAGGAAGGGGAGCAGTGTTCTGACTTAAACGCACCGTGTCGATTCATGAGCTGTTTGCGCTCTTACTTGCTCGCGCCGTTGTTGACGGTCGGGTTGGTCTGAGCGTGTATTGAGACGGTCGGGTGGCATGCCAGAGCACAAACGAGAGAGAACGTGGTAAGAACGTGTCTGGTCGAGGGCAAGGCGACCATGATTCAGGTGTCTGTCTTTTTCAGCACGGGTTAGTGTCCCGAAGCGCGGTCGTATGTACCCCGATGTCAGGGCGTGCTTTCCGAAGAGAATCAGAGCGGAGCATCGCGTCTCGAGTTGTTGCTAGTTTGTAATGCAATCGAGATTCCTATTTCAAATAGCTCCTTCTAGTCGCGCCCAACAACGATGTCTACTCTGCAAGCCAGCCAATCACACTCAGCCAGCGTAACCATGACACACGACTTCTCGTGAGCCTCGTTGATGACAGACATTGAGAAAGCGCTCGCGCGCCCAATACACGTATGGTGATTTATGGGCCAACTTCTGCAGCTGTTGCAGTGACAGCGGTTCCCAAGTAGCCTCCAGAAGATCACAAGATGCCTCCAACGACGATGTAACGGTTTGATAGATCAGTTGTTGGTGGCGCAAAAACTGTCTACATTTACCAGTGTTGACAGGTGCGGGGCAAGGCTGGAAGCGAGGGTTTAAGGTGGCGGCCGTCTCACTGGTATAGCATCCGTGGCTTCTGGGTGTACTGTTTTACACGCGTATAGACGGCTTTGGCATGTACAGCGCCGTAGTGGTCTGGGCGAATCTCGGGCGCGACCGATTTTTCTCGTTTGATGTGAGGCTCCCTCACGCGGGAGAGTGGGCGGAACCACATTGCTGGCTACGAGAGCCTCGAGGAGTGATCAGTCACCGTCATGAAGGGGCGATAGGATATGTGCGCCTGTCATTGGCTGCGAACTCCCCTCCAACTTCATCTGCACCAGCCAGGCACGCCTGAGACCCCATCAGCTTCTTATGCGTTCAAGAACATGGGCACAAGCCTTTTGATTTTCTGTGGTGTGGCCATGTCGACTGATTGTCAAGACCAGTGCCAAGAGCTTGCTGTATTGTTGCCGTCACTCCACCGTTGCCGCTGCTTGATTATACAGGCAGCTGTTACATCACTCGGGTGCTCCTGTGCCCACGGCCGTCTGACGTCATCCTTTTAGAAGGCATAGATGTCTCCAAGCTGTCACAATTGCAAAAGTGCGCTTATCCTTCGGAGACGCTTACTGCCGCGGGAGAGTCACAGGGGGTAGGGATCACCATCATCGCAGATGGAAAGTGATGTCTTCCGTCAATCCAGAAGCAAGCAGTTCTGACTGCTTGGATAAGCAGGGTACACTCGGTGCGCATCGTACATGAAGAGTACCTTGGAGCGTAGGTCTTCAATGACTGTTTTCCCAGATACGTACCGCGAGGCTCGCTTGCTTTAATCGAACCAACACGTCGCGTCTCATTCCCGTTTCTTCCACGTTAGAACGGCCTTCCACCCCTGCTTTTGGCTGGACTTGACCGCAATGCATCGTTTCCTCTCTGTCTCCCCTCTTACAAACCCGAACTGCCCAGGAGGCGGACACGAGGCCTGTACTATGTCAACCAACCACAAATCGTCCTGGACGGATCGTGGAATAAACAGGATCTTGCGTTCATGATGAAGATGGGAAAACGTGCGGTGCACGCGAAGAAATAGTGATTGGGCAACAGCATCTTTCCTCCGAGCATCATCAGGCGCGCGCCTCTTGTGATTCAATCGCACAGCGGTTGTTCCAGACCGAGATCTATTCTCATGGTCTGTCCGGACACTTACATTGTCCGTACGAGCTAAGCACAAAGGGGGCACCGGTAGATTTGCTGCGGAGGTTCAGATCCGAACGGGTCTTGTGTGGCGGCTGGTTTCGGGTCCCGCTCGTTATCGAAGGATTACAGGAAACTTCAACCTCGAGACTTGTAGCTTGACGGCCGATGATGGCGTTCATAATACCACTACTACTCCCATGCCGACCTTGAGAGCCTCGGTCGCAGTTGAGCCGACGACCGACTACTGCCGGTCTATGCTCGACATGGCCATTCTATTTGCAGCGTTTTGCAGTACGGCCGCCGTGTGGGAGGCGTGCCCTAGACAGGAGAGATCGTTATCATCGGATCGGACAAGCATATCTAGTCGATGACGCTTCGACCATGACGCGTCACGTCGCACGATATTTCGGGACAAGAAACACGATCACATGACTTGAGCCCCATCGGATGATCTACAGGCAACGTCTGATGTCCGTGGGTGAACTTTCGCTTAGCCGGCCCTTCATAGCATCGGGCGGCTTCACCGTTATGCTAACAGGCATCTCTACCACGCAGCTGTACAGTTTTTCTGTGGTCACTATGGCAATGTGATTCGCAGTTAGCGGATGGCCGTTGGGCTGATGAATGGAGTGTCGGTCCCAGTCCGGCTAAAGCCTAGAGTGCTCGAGAAACTTGCGTAGACTTGTGAGCAGCGAGTGCTAGTAAGCTGGGTATAAGCATCTACTTTGCGTCGTCGCGGACTGGGCAAGTCGCTGCGAACACATTCAGCCTGGCCGGCAGCCGCAAGCCGGTAGGCAGAGTGATGAGCAGTGTTCAGTTGCCAGAGGAGACGAATTTATAACGTTCTGCGTGTTTAAACCATTGATATCTGGCAGAATCACAGAGTTCTCGTTTGAAATTGAGCTTGAGTACCCGTTCCGCCACCCGACGAACTGTACACGGCAACTTCAACGCCGACAGACCATCGCGGGAAAATGGAGTCCCTAAAGTATGCAGTTTATGGCTGTGTCATGCTGAGACATCTATACAAAGGCGGTTTCAATATTGCAGCTGTCTCCAAGAAAGACCGGAGTTCAATCGCTCTGCCGTTAAGAACCAGTCGGCAGGTTCCTTTGAAGTCGCTCTCGAGGAACTGACCGTAAGTCAAAGCACGTTCAGCTCAAGTACAAAGGTTATCTATGCGTTTTGACTGTCTTAGCGTAGAAAAAAACGTAGCTCAGTGTCAATGTGTGGGCTCCCCTGTCCTGATGCGCGCCAACGAGAGAGGTGTTGACAAAATGAGCGCTCATTCATCTGTCTCGTACAGTGCGAGATTAGACATTTGAACTGACTTAATGAGAGACGTTGTAACTGTGACAATAAAAGCTCAAGACTGGTGGAAGACCCCGGCGGACATGCAAACGAAAAACTGGGAGATGAGGACATGACGATTGCACACGAGCAGCAACAGCTCTCTCTCAACCTGGAGCCGCGCAGCAACATTCCCTCCATCTTGTGTCTTGATAGGTAATTTCAGCAACAATATCTATGTGGCTAGGACTGAGCCTTGCGCAAGGGGTGTCGAGTTGCATATACTTGGTAGATCCCCGATGCTTCGGTGTGATTCTACGAGGGCGTGGTCGAGCTCGCAATGGTGGCAAGTAGAGCATCTACACAGGTTTGTTGCATCCTGGCTGAGACAAGAAGGTGCCCGTGACCCACAGACTGCTCCCGACTCGATGCCTTCAGAAGCCTGTCGAACCTTCCCTCAGGAGGGTTCTGACCAGGATGTGAAACATGGCCTTGAGGTGGTGGCTTAGGTTTCTGACAGTTGTTTGAAATCTTCAGGTTTGACGGAGGTCCAGTATCCAGTATGTTGCGGTTCACGTACTTGGGCTAGAGAGGGACATCTGCCGATACAAATATAAAAAGAAGAAAAAAAGAAAAAAAAAAGAAAAAAAAGAAAATGAGGGACTTGATTTTTCCGTGGGAGCGCTCGCAATGAGACGACCAATCACATTATTTGGGTGATTCATGTGCCTGAACACGTGGCGAGCCGGAAAGCGCTCATATGCAACGTGTCTGCTGCACTTACGAAGTGCCAGCTCTTCAGCCCTCCGGTTCACACCTCTGCAGACGATGCATGAAAGGCGTGCAAAAGTCTTGATATGTGGGCAAGCGTGCCCGCTCGTGATGGCAAGTCTACGACCTTTGAACTCGTACCATGCGGTGGGCAAGGGGTGCTGATATTGGGCGCACAGAGCGAGCTGACCCACCGACGAGGGGAGGATGGCAGCCAGATCACGTTTGACATTCATATGTGGGAGGACAACCATGCCGTCAAGGTGGATATAGACGTCGCACTCGTCGTGGCCGACATTAGCAGCAAAGAGGGCGAGGCTAATTTGCCCGTGGACATTGAGCACGCCAGGGAGGCCAGTCCGCGCGCGGTCTACTTTGTATTTATTGACCCTGTTTGGACATATGAGCATGACGCTCCGTATTATCGCCTCCAAGTGGTGCGCTGCGCTTACCTGTGTCACACGTTCGGCTTTGATCACTTGCGAACGGGTGTCTATTCGTCGTGGGACCCGGCGCTTGTTGCGGGCGACCTAGGTAGATTCTCTCTATTGGGGGAAGACGTCGGCTGACATGTGACGCAGCCACTGCCATCTTTCCACCGCCGCGCAGTCCTACCACCGTCAAGGACGTACTATCGTTCGTGTACGAGAAGGCTCTGGATTGGTTTGCTAGATGTCTATCGTACCCCATCATACGTCCAGCGGATGTGAGTGACCATCGTGCCGTCCTGCCGCAGTTCCTGTTTAACGAGATCGAGTACAGGTCAGCTCCAAACTCGACTACGTCACCGACAACAACCATATGGATGCCCTCATTAACAACGAGTCCTGCGATGAGTGGGAGAAGGATATCATCAGTCGCGGCGCAAGCCTGTTCCCCAACCCTTCATGCCCGGTGCATCTGGTACCGATTCATGGGGAGCAGGATGCTTTTGTCGTCGCCAAGACCCTGCGGCGCGGAGAGAGAGAAGCCATGGTTCTGGCCGAACAGCTGTTGCCGGTCCCACGAGTCTACCGTCATGATCTGAAATGGACCGTCATGGACTACATCCGTGGCCCGACCTTGTTGAGCTGCTGGGAAGAATTGTCGCGGATAGAGAAACTGAGAGTTGCCTGTACCCTCCGTGTCTACGTGAGACGCATGCGTACGCTCCAAAGAGCATATCCAGGCGACGCTCTTGACGGACACCTGAACGCGCAGTTCTTCTGCGGCGAGTTGGGCGATAGACGGTTCGGCCCGTTCGGCTCCGTCGACGACTTTCGGCGCTTTTGCACGTATCTTGCGTACCGCACATGGCAGATGCGGGCTTCCAGACATGGCGACGATGCCGAACCAATTCCTTCCATCGACGGCTGCTTCGAGCACATCTGTCTCGTCCACGGAGATCTCAGTCCATGGAATGTGATGCTGTCCGAGAGCCGAACCGTTTTTCTCATCGATTGGGAGTTTGCTGGTTACTATCCCGCGTGCTTGGAGGCGGTGGGGATGAGATTCACAAATGATACTATGCCAGAGCGGTTCATACCGGCCTCGTGGGCTCGCTATTGGAAATTCATAGCCGGGCCGGTAGATGTCCATGTAGACCGATTTTGGGTATTTGTACGCATCGCAGTGGATCGATTCAGTTACTAGTCTATACATCGACCGGGTTCCTGTACATTATCTGTGTTTCGTCATGACATGAATGAGTTTCAGAGAGATAGATAGATCATATATCACTTGAGTCTGAACTCGATCGTGCCTGGTCAGTGTCAAAGGGTCACAGAGGATTTGTATAAATGAGCGCAACACTCAGCGCAAGGGCCGCGAATGCGCGGGGTGGAAGACGTGCAGACTCTGTGGTTCGCCACCCTCGGAGATCCTTCCTGCGAACCATGCGCGGCTTTGGGCTATGTCATCGAGAGCGTACACGCCGTGTAGGTAAGCACCGTCACAGTGGTTATGAGAGACGACTCAGATCGTGTTGGTACTCACACAGATGTAACAGATACTTGGCCGGATTCTATATCAGAACCGCGCACTCAGACTTATGTCAAATATCTTCGGCTTAGTCAATGACTCGAGTATTCATTTTTGGAGAGCTCCGATAAGGGTATCTGACCTCACCTTCTTCATCCCCGTTACGTTTGTTCGACTCTGTGTGGAATGATTCAACGTCTCAGACGGACCACGAAGATGCATTGAAGCCAACGGAAGAATCTGTCTTGTGGGAAACAATTTGAACCGTCGCACACAAGGGGAGGGAGGGGTTTATACATCCATAATCTCGAAACCGGTTTGCAACTTTGGCCCGTGAGCGTAGGCGTGAGATAAGTGTCAAAGGTGGGGGACCAATAAGAGACAACGATGCTAGCAATACCAACAAAAACCCGACTTGTTGTGCACATAGAATAAAGCATATACACAGGATCCTCAACTTCTCTCGCACAGACTCAATCTTCACGACGTTGACACATTTTTCGAGCGCGTTATCTCGACATCTATATTGTATACCTCGTCGAGATTCTTCTGGATCTTCTGGAAGATCGCGTGTGAGTATCCATATGCATGTTTTGTGCTCCTCATACACGGGTAGCTCACCTGTCAGGTCAGTTTGTAGAACACCCCTTCGACGGGTTCAAAGGGTTTTTTTTTCGACTTTGCCCGACTGACCAGGACGTCCGCCAGCGGACCCCCGGAAGCATGCTGCTTTGATATTTTGTCGACGACCATATCTCTTGAACCTTTCTCCAGGAGACCCATCGCCTCTAGCTTCTCTACAAGAGTAAGCTGCCACCAGAGGCAGCCGCTTATTTCGGGATGAAATAGGTAGTAGGACAGTTTGTTGTCCTTGACGACGTTCAGAATGGTCTCGATGGTGACATCCTCGCGGTTGAACGGTATCGTGGTCTGGAAAGGGGCTGTGCGTGAGACCATCGTGTTTTGGGGGCGTTTGGAAACCTCGAGGTGTGCGATCCTTGCCTCCTCCATCGCCTTCTCCGCGGCAGTTGCTGCCAGGGTCGGCCACGAGGCGGGTCGGGCGTAGTTAATGTTCTCGACGGGTACCTCCGTCTTTTTGCCGACGGTCATGTTGAAACTCGCGACGTCGCCTGAAAATGTCTTTACAGGAACGGGCACCTTGTGGGGAGCGGGCACGCGTGGCGGGAACGCAGACATAAAATGACCCGAATTTGTGCAATGTAGCACCAGAGATCCCAGACTTTCTTTCCAGATTGGGTCGTGACGTTCGATGTTACTGATTACGACGGTTCCTGACAAACTGTCGACTGCTCGAGATTAGAGCCATTGAAACAAGAGTGTTAAGCGCAATGACTCAACGCAGGGAGTTTGTTGGAGGGTAAACCATATCTGAAGGCATATGAGCATCATACTTACTGTGATAGCCCTAAAAATATACGCCGCCAGGGCGCAAGGACAACAGAAAACAAGAATTTTCGAAACGTCATTGAGTATGGACGAACCACTGGCGTTCTTGAAGAGGCAAAAAGAGGGCTATTGTTGGACCAATGATGTCCTGCTTACCTGAGTTCGGTGACAGGAGTGGCACTTGTTAGACGAGCGCCGGCGGAGAGTGATGAAGGGTTGGCTGCAGCAGTTGCGATTGCTCTTCAGCGAAACGCAAGGCGTACGTCAATGATGAAACGAGGGTGCATCTGACCGTCGACGCACCGCGATAACGCTTTGCGCCTTACCCGTCAGTGAAAAGAAGGCCGTATAAGGCATATCACGGGACAGACTCGGGGCCCTTCTAATCGGGTCGGAACGGCAATGAGAATCTAAAGAACATTGGGTGTCTATTGCGGATGGAAGTTCCGCCCGCGAGCATACGGCGGATACTTTTCCACGACCGTCCGACTGAACACGTCGCAAGGTTTGATAAGAATACGTTGTGATCGACGGACCGTTCGGCATGTGCGGCATCCTTAAACGATAAATAGACGCGGCAATATGTAGTATCGATCCCCCAAGAGTGCGCGTTGAGAAAGAAGACTGGCTCTTTCCGTCGGAACATGACACCAAGATCATCCGCCTACAGGCATCAGGGCGTTCATAGACTGTCTCTTTGCCAGCAGTCCAGAGCCAGTTCAGATCGGATCAGTGTCACCGATAGAGATAAGGTTGGCATACTCGCGGCGATCACGCTGTGTCTTAATCTGATGGAGGGCAGTGGTACAGAACTGGCTTGTTGCGACAGAGTTTGAGCCCTTGTGTTGTAAGGCAATGTCACCCGGTCTGCCATGGGGTGCCACGGTATGAGCTCACTCGCACCTTTCGACTCCTCTTACTGCATAAGAGAAGGTAAGCTTCCATCTGGACATTCAAGCCGAAGACCCTTGCACCTTGGATTAACGGCGCTGCTGTCTTCATGCGCTTCTCCTCCCTCATGAGCTAGGTTCGGAGAGCCGCTCCGAGGGCGATTACGCGCGCGCTTGATGGCGTTCTTACATGCGTAGTGATGCTTTCTGAGTGTGGGATTTACAAGGTGTACCGGGGCCCCGGAAATGCCCGTAAGCGAGGTATCTACGGTGCACATAAGACGTTCACCCACAGGCGAGCTGCATAGTGCAGAGGTACATACGTAAATGCTCGCTCCTATTCGGTATTTTGCTCGTGAGAGTCTCTGGAGACGAAGGATCAGTCTCCGGGTATGTTAATGCGCGTACGTCATGCGCGTCATCACGGGTCCTTCACCTTGTGGCTCTTGCTTTGGGCGTATCAAAAGATGGATTTTGTAGCATCAGCTCGTCACTAACCATACACGCAGTGGCGCACTGAATAGAACTTGGTCTGGTCATGGCCTGAGGCGGTCGGCCGGTTTTCTCGTCGTTGACGTGACCGTACTTAATTTCTCAACAACGTACCAGACGTAGTTCATCACTGTCCTGTACTGTAGCTGCAGAGCTTCCATACGTACGCGCAGAAGTCTGGTAGGTCACGCGGTCGGCGCTCTTGATAGCCGACTCGAGTGCCTCCACCAGAAGTGGGCTAAGGGATCATGTACCGGGCAGGTGTTGGGCAAACTAAAAGAGTTTTGCAGACTCAGGCATGTTGTCACATGTGCAAACATAAGCAGTCAAGCTAGCTCATCATTGAATGGAGAGGCATTGAGGGTGAGACGACAGTGTGAACGGCCAATGAGACCCAAGAATAGAGTACATCAAGCGCGCTGACACCAGCAACATTCTTCACATGATGACTGATGGCTATGCTTAATTTGGTCCAATTGAAAATACGCGGACCCTCCGAGCGGGCTTAAAGCATGCGAAACGCAGAACAAATTAAAGAAATTCCAGTCGCACATTGGTGCGAACGATGCTATATTCAGTAAGAGAGTGAAATTCGAAAGTGAAGAGACTAAATTTATAATATGCCAAGTCAAGCTGGCAAAGATATCATTCAAATGACACCCAGGTTGCCAGGGAGAACGCAAGACGGAAACGGCTGTACACGGCAGCCGCAGCGGTCGCAATCGAAGGCGTAATCACGAACAACAAAAGCCGGTCATCTGGGCAAGTTGAGCGTTATCGATCATTGTACGCGGATGAGCAGCAACTAGAGAGTTAGCACCGCCCAAAAAAGCATCAGATCTGAACTGATGCACAACATGTCGACAGCGCTCACAAATCCCATTTGGGTGTATGGTCTAGATATGGCAGATCATGCGGCTTATACGTGGCATTGCAGACATGGGTTCAATAGTTCCTATATACGGGCAGCGCTTTGAGCTGTATATGTGTGCAACAAAATACAATATTGTAGGAAATGGTTTAACGGTACTGACGACAATTGCTGAATGAGAAGACGAACTCGAAGTTCATTACAGTTGCATGTTGTTCAAATCAAAACGGCTAGCCACCGCGCGTCAAGAGGGTCGCGAGCGCGCCCGAAACACAGCCGATGCTCCAACTCTTTTACCTATGTCTCCTTCCGCATGTCATACACAACACGAGAGAGCAAAGGAGCCCCCGTGTCAAAACGCACATGCCTTTGGAGGCGAGCCTCGCTCACTTGTTGTCGGTGTTCACATGTCATGCATATGGCTAGCCGCTAGCCGCCCGTTAGCCGTCACACTCTGTACAACGACTGAAGATGAGTACCTGGCGCACTGTAAGCCAAATCCACAAAGCGCTCGTGAATTATGTCCCTTGGAGAATGACACAAAGAGAATGGCAATGCTCAGTACAACCGTTTTAGGGATGTGATGACAGTTCATGCCGCGCATGAGCAACGACAGCAGCGTAGCAAATATTTTGGAGGCTCGCACACGAGGCAGCAGATGGCATGAGCGTTGTTTGAGCATGATACATAGCGATAAGCCGCCCTTGCCTGGCTGTGTGATGACAACGGGTTTGGACTCTACCTTGTCTCAGGATGCAGAGATGCCTGAGGAGCCTCTATCGAGACGTTGTTCCTCTTGACTCGCACTGAGTCTCTATCGGCACCAATTCAGATTGATGTACTAAGGCCACGGTCCGTCGGCGCGCGCTACATCCTTGTTTTTGTCATTCTTCGTCGTCGTCACTGACAGGTGCAGTTATTGGTCATGACTTACGGGCGATTTGGAATTTGATACATGCCACCGCGTCTTTCTCACAGGCTTACGAGGCTACGACGATGGTTTTCGATTATGTTTGCTCAGTAGATTAAAGAAGAACTCACTGCATTACGGACTACTTACGCTCATTCGCGAGATACAGTCACAGGATATAAACAAGATGCTTCAACCGTGAGTCATGTCACGGCCGTACCAGGAGCATTATCGTCTGTGCCGAACGCTCTCTCTGTGTCTGCTTCTGTCTCCGAGGAATGTAACCCCGCGATTGCATGAAACACGTAGACATACGACGCTTAACGTCAGTCCCCAATAGTCTGGCTTGTCATTCCTTCGTCTGTCGTCGGCACCGCTATGTCTCAAATACCTACGACATATTGATATCTTGCAATCTCTGCGGCTGTTGTGAGACTGCTGACTTGCTTCTGGGCCGGCATAAGCCCTACACGCTTCATATAAAAGGCAGGCCTAGAGAGGCAACAAAACGCAGGCTTTAAGCCTCTCTTCCTTCCTCCCTTGCTTCCTTCCTCCCTTGCTTGCTTCCTCCCTCCCTTTACTCCTTCCTTCCTTTATTTCTTTTTTGCTTCCTCTCTATATCCCTTGCTTCACTCTTTTTGCGACATACTATTGCACCTCCAGTGGCTTCTTGCATAGGAGTGATCATCATCCCATTATTAATTTATGTGAGTTGTTTGCTCAAGAGTGTGTCAGTTTATTTGTATATCATTCCAAATTATCTTTGCGGTCACTGAAATCAATCTTTGTAGCAGGTGCCAGATCATGAGACCTTTGTAATTCAAAGTCGTGGTTGGAAGATCCATACCGGTTGTACCGTTGCTGCCATACAACGTTTAGCCATTGCCGATTGTATGACTGTCGGTGTCATGACAAGCATTAAGAAGGACAGAGACGTCTTCAGTACGACTTTTCTGGTTGTGGCAGGCGAAGTCAACTGGGTACCGCAAAGAGAGTATGTCTACAGCTCATGGCCTTAGGCTAGGAAATCGCGGACGCAGGAGCTAGTCGCTTTGTATTGAGCGTGTCTCGAAGGCGGCTGCGAAGTTGCGGCGCGAGATTCCGCAGTTCTCGCAAGAGGGGGTCGTTAGACGAAGGTGACTGGCGGCATTTAGTCACGATGCCATCGCTGGTTGTGCGTGCTGAGATATCTTCGCTCAACGTCGATTATATCTGCTCAAATGGGGTTGTTCGCCTTTTGATTGCAACAGGAGAAGAGGCCTCCGGCGGGCCGTGCATTTGGGCGACACTTGACAGAGAAAGATGTGTGGCGCCCCGGACACGGACTCGCCATTGTGTGCACACACATGTCTGTCGAGGATTGGGTAGCGTCTTTCAAGAAGCAAAGTGGACATGCGTACGAACGAAAAGGCAATCTGTGCGCAAAAAGTCACAGCGCGGGGAGTATCACTCCAGCGAATAGATGGAGTCGGAAAATACGTCCATGGAGCGGCTTCCGCGACATGACATCGCCTCCCTACTCTGACACAAACGTGCCGCATGTGCAGATTAATTGGGAAAATCTGTCGAGCCGTCGTGTGTTGTGTCACCCGGATCTGTAAAGAGGCAGCCGGCCGTTACCTGTGCGCGGGCAGCCGCCTTTCATCTCGTTTATGATGGCGCTTGTATGGTTTTGCGGCGGGTTCTGTGCCCTAACATCGGCCTTCGGCTTATATTGCGAGCAATGCCCGGGGAATATCAAGTGGGGACACAAGGCCGGCCCATGCGGATATCATCTCAAGCACAATATCAGGATTACTTTCTGTGTCTGCACCCACGGTCGCTTCCCAGAGAATAGCGAGCATCTACCTCGTAAAGAGGGTTCTCAAAGTCTTCTAAAATCCTACAACATGAAGTCTCTGCTGGGTCAGCCGTATCTTTTTGGGCTCCGAAACAAAAGTTCACCCTTCATCTGGGACGGCCGGTCAAGAGTTCCACAAGCGTGTAGGTCAAAGGGGGCTCGTACCATCTGCCTGTCCTGCCAAACTGCGGAGATACGGAGGAAACCGCCGTCGGTGAAACACGATGTCCTCCTGGGCGACAATGTTTCGACGCGAGCGCACTTGGGTTGCATTGGGCCCGCTGTCGGGACTGTCGAGCCGTGGCCGGGAGCTCAGTGGCCAGTGTGAGTCGGCCGTCAATCTTATAGGCCAGTAGGGCAAAATCTTCATAGACGCCTGCAAGGCCTCGCGAGTGGGCGCTTGTCGCATGCACGACCTCCACAACCATGTCGCCGGGAAATTTGACGATATTAATGTCGCAATTCGTTTCCGTGACATCTGGAACGCGTTCCTACCCGGCAAGTGTGCGGGGGGGGGGGGG